AATGAAAAGCGACTTCTTCTGGGAGAGAGGAGAAAAAGAGCCACAGGCTTGATCTTTTTTCTGATCTCAAACTCTACACTGAGTGACCTTCCCCTCTGTCTGGCTCAATCTGTGGTCCGTGGTTCTCTATTTTAAATAAATAGCTCTTTTATTTTACACAGGGATTGCCTGGATTACCTTTTAATAAGGGCTTAGCCACTCTCCACCATCCCAGGCCCAATGCTGAGCTGGTCGGCACTAGCCCAAGCCATAATTATCCACAGCTAACTAAAGGCCCACGTTCCTTCAGTAGCCCATATGAGCCATGTCTGATTTTTTTCCCCTTGTTTTTGTTGTTTGTCATGCCGCCAGTGTGGAAGCTTTGAATTGGAAGGCCAAGCATTTATCTAAAAAAAAAAAAGAGCAGGGATGAGAGTGGGAGGTGGACTGGGAGATAGGAAGGGATGGAAAGAGAAATGTGGAAATCCAGACAGATGAGCTGTCTCCTGTTGGACTTCACTCTGTCTTCCCCATCTGTTCACCCCAGTTTTAATTAAATCTACTGAGATGAGGATTTTTCCCTCTCGTGCCACCCATCTCCCTCCTCATTCACCTCTCCCATCCTTCCTCACGTGCGTGGAGATGGGTTAATGCCAACGTCCACTCATCTCCCCACCTCACTGCCAGCTGCTAATGAGAGTGAGCCAGGGTGGCATGAGGACATTGCCAGCCATTATGAGCTGTTAATGAGGAGCATTCGAGAAAGACCCTGGCCTAGGCCTACTGCCATCAGCTACTGCAGCCTTTTTCTCCTGCACAGAGACAGATATACTGTAGGACTACATATACAAATGTACAGACAAGTGTTGTTACATAGCATCTACTATTGAAGAAATTGCAACTGTTGCTAATTCGATCTGACATCTTTGACAGCTCTAGAGACAGTATATTTACACACCCCACACTAAGTTTGAATGAGCTATTCTCCAGGCAATGTGCTTATGTTTGGTTTGCTAACCTTATGCAACCACATGCAGGAGTCTTCTGTTCTTTGCTATTGACACATCTCTGGCAGACAATTAATATAATGGACATCTACTTAATTTCTTTGGGCCAACATCCTGCCAGCCAGCACTACTCACATAACCTGGTCTTAGCCAGGATAAAGAAAGGTGTCGGGGGAACCTGTTGGGCCCGTGAGGGAAAGGGTTGCAGCAATGCTGTGAGCACGTTCTCTCTTTCCAGGTTGGCACAGATGCCTGGAGCTTTAGCCTGCCCTGGTGACTAGCTGTAATGCTAAGATGTAACTTTCCAGTGGCTTTTTAAAGCTGTAAAAGAGGTGAAGGATGCAGCAAAGAGTGTCCTGCTTCCTATTTGGCATAATTAGTTGTTCTCACTCACCACAGTCTCTACCAATCTTGTTCTCATCTCCCAGACTACAGTTAATCCAGCATTTCAGTTTGCTTTAGGATTTCAACCAACCAAACATGCTTGCCTTTGACCCACTTTTTGATTCTGATAATACTGAAACACAGTTTCATTCAATAGTTTGCCCCATTTACATTGGCATTTCTTGGCCTCCTCTCGCTACATTTAATTTCCTCATCCTCCTTTTGATATCATTTTCCTTTTTTGTTTGTCTCATCTTTTACTTTGTGTTTTGCATCCTCTGTGCCTGTAAAATACAATCACGTTCCTCTGCCTTTGTCTCACCAGCCTACGCTGAACAGCCCCTGCGCTGTCGAGAGACTGACGCTCACTTAGCACTTGAGTTCCTATCACTTCATTTGCATGTTGGCAAAGTGTGGCAGCACTTAAGCTGTATAAATGCTTTAACAGCTCACTGTTTGAAGTGCAGATAAGAGAAAGGCCAGAGTCATAGCTGCACCTTGGGTTAAGAACAATCATGTCACGCATCTTAACCTGAGGTCACACTTAACTCTTACTTTATGTTGTGTTTAGCGACCAAATCTGTTATCTTCAGTGCAGCATCCTCTGTTGAAGATCTTTTGTTCTCCGGCTGACTTTGTTTACATAGTGATGCCTTGATCTTGACATATAGTACGACAGAAACTTATTTAGAAAGGATATTTAAAACCGTGTCACCGCCAACCATGAGCCACAATGTTACTGATCGTGTCAGGGCTGGAACCCTTGTTGAATATGATTTGCTATTTCTCTCTCTGCCTCTCACTTCTCACCTCTCTGTAGTCTCTTATCTAACAAATGCAGAATCCATGTGAGTTTACATTGATAGTGCCTGAGGCTCTGAAGGTTGTTACAGTACATGTGGTGGTTTTGTTCTTTTCATTTTCCAAAAATGATTAAAAATAAATCCACAGTTGACTGTACACTGACCGCTGTACACTTTTACATACTGACAAAAAACACCACAGAACAGCACATCTATGCTTTGGAACAGGCGATAAAGTAATTAAAGCCTGTCTTATACAGGCTGCATGCATATCCTTGTCACAGCTCTTATGTTAGTTTGGCAGCAAATCAGATTTTTCCATGGTGGTGATTAATATCAAGTCTGACACAACAGGGAGAAAGATGCGACACTACAGTGACAATAAAACAAGTGTTTTCACTGTTCCACAGACAGGCGCCCAGCGCCAAACAGCCTATGTTTCACATGATCACAACAGCCAGATTATTGGCTGTGGATGCAATAGTTCTCTCAGTAATCTCCACACTTGAGCAGAGTCATCATCATCATCATCATCATCATCATCATCATCATCATCATC